CCCTCAAAACCGAATTTGTTTCTCTTCCTCCTCAGACCTCTCTCACTTTCTCTTCTTTCTTCCCTCTCCGCCGCATGCCACCGATTCCATCAGTCGCCGACGGCTGCCCAAGCGAGTCCCTTCCTCTCTATTTGGCGTCGGGTTGTGCTCTGTTCCCTCTGCATCCGAGGCGCACTCCGCTCTTTAGTCTCCGGTCGTCCTCTCCCATGGCATCCCTTTCACTTCCGCTGCTTTCATGTGGTTTTCGCCCATCTGAAATCTAGAATCGGCAGTAAAAGCAACCCCAATGGCCCGATATGGTCCCCTTCCACTGTCCCCGATATGAAACCTAGCTGGGCATAGGGTTTTGGGCCTCTAGAGAGGAGGTTAGAGACTTCGACTTCGACATCATCCTCGACCTCTATGAGGGTGGAGAGAGGCGGGACGCTTCGTCGCCGAATGCCACCGCGGATCTGGGATAGGTTAACCCCCGTTGCCGCAGATGAAGACACGATACCGCTGCTATCGTGAACTACATGAGCATATCTGGATCCCTCCTTGGTAAAACGATTATGTTTTATTTGTGTTTCTATTTAATTCAAATTTTTGTATGCTTTTGCTAATTTGTGATTTTAATTTTGGTTGGTTTTCTGAGTATAAATGGCCGGTGATGAGAAGAGAATGGAGAAAGGGAAAGTTATTTGACTCCATGACCGACCAGAGGAAGTCGACGGAGGTACATCTACGGCAGGGGATGGCCACGGCAACGAGGCAGAACGCTGGAAGAAGAAGAAGAAGATTTTGGATTGGGCTAGGGTTTTAGTGGTAGAGAGAGTGGACTTGGGTTGTGGGTTGTATATGTGTGAGAGTGGGCTTGTAATTGTGGGTTGTGTGTGAGAGGTTGAGGAATTTCAGTTTATTATGTCGGAATTCAGAATATGGGGTTCGGTTAGGAACATCCTGGTTTCCAAAGTATAGGGTTTTGTCTTCTGAATTCCAAACCAAATAACAATAGTTCGGTTTCGATTCGGTTCAGTTCAGTTTGGGTTACCAAACCAGATGCCCACCCCTAAACCAACCCTTTCAAACTTCTCTAACATTTTTAAGTCGGTGGATTCAACACCTCCACGACCCTTCCCATGGCTCTCTACTAATCCTTTCCCCTTCCACCCAATCCATAAAAGTCCCACGAAATCGCCGAGATCACAGTCAAACTCCACGCACACCACCGCCTCTCCCTGTACTCTACCAGCCAATTGAGCCAAACATACTTCTTCACCGCAAGAATCATAATCGTCGACCTCCTCAACAACAAAATCCTCATCCCCGACAAGCCGCATACGATGATGGCCGGGTTCGCGAAGACGGAGAGAACCATCGCGTTCACCGTTGATCTTGCCCAATCCTTCTCGTCGACCTTACAAGGACGATTTACAATGAAGAACCGGTAGAAGTGAGGTCGAGAAATCCAGGTCATCTGGAGAGGGGTTAAGAACATCATTATGTGTATTCATCGGAATCTAGGTATTTGGATGATCTGGATGTTACCCCTCCATAGTCGCTCGTCCTCGTCCATACGTGTTGGTGCTTATCTTGATTAGGCGAGGAGAAGAGAGCCAACGTTATCCCTTGAATTTCAGGTCATCGACGAGGGCGTCGTGGCCTTCTGCTCCCGCTCACAATTCAATCCTCTTGTTCGTTGATTTGGGTTTGTTAGAGTTCCGGATTCTTCAATTCTAGGTTTGGATTTTTAGTATTTTCTCCAGTTCCACCATTAGCAATCCCAGAGGAGAGAGCTTGTTGTTCGATTAGGATGAGGAGCCCAGAGCTGGGACAAAGACGGGGAGCTTGAAATCTCATTTGAGTTCCATAGATCTTGCGACGAGGTGCTTGTTGTTCGGCCGAAAAGGGAAGATCGGGATGGAAAAAGTCGCCAAGGTAGGGGTGGGTATTCGGTCGGTTAGGTCCAAACCGAACCAAACAGAAAATGGGGCTGTTGCCAGCTGGGATGGAGCAGAGGAGGCGCGGGCTGCTCACAACTGGGCGGTATGGAGGCAGATCTACAGAGTGCGGTCGGGGCTACTAGACGGTGGGATGTGGTGGCGAGTGGCGGCGGGCGGCAGGTGAGTCGGTGGATGCGAGTGGGAGGCGGTGGCGAGTCGCGATGGGGTCTGGGAGAGACGGAGGTGATGGAAGACGCGTCGTAGGTCGGGCTGTCACCTTCAGGGAGCGACGAGTCGCGATGGCCGGTGTCTGGGAGAGGTCGCCGATCAGGTTCTCGGGCTCGGCGGCTGGCAACTTCTTCTTCGCTTTTCAATTTCGTCTGCTACTGCTAGGGTTGTTTTTTCTTTCGTAGAATGCAGGCAGAAGCGACCAAAGTGAAAGAGATGAGAATTAGGGGATTTGAGAATTGGGTATGGTGGGTTGAGATTTGGGAATGAAAGTGGGCCAGTGGGGTGTGGGGCAGGTTTGGGCCTCAAAATTTTTAAATTGGTATGGGTTCAGTGGGCTGGGGGTAAAATCACATCTGCCATCTGAGTTGGAAGGTTTGGAAATTCGGTTTCTCGGTTCGGTTCAAATGAAGCTGACTCCCGAATTATGACATATTCTAGTCCGAATTCCGAACCTAATAAAGTTTAATTCGATTTTTGTCGGTTTTTATTCGGCTCGGTTCGGTAAAACCGAACTGGATGCGCACCCTTACGCCAAGGAGAGCAGCAACGGCAGTTGCGGGAGAGGGTTAGCGCTGGAGAAAGACGATAAAGAGGGTCAATAATGTCTTTTTGGATTTTTCTTTAATTAATTAATTATTTATTATTACTTTTTAATTGACACGTCAGGTATTTAAAGGTCAACTGTTAGAGTTGACTGCCAAATCAGATAAAGTTAACGGAGAGTGACTAAATGTGAACCGTTTTACTAGTTCGAGTGACCAAAATTAATATTAATTTTTTCCGTTGACTAAACATGACACATTTTACTACGAACAAGGATTTGGTCTAATGGTAATACCACTAGCTTTGAACCTAGAGGACCCAGGTTCAAATCCCTTCAGTAGTACCTACCTAATCACAAAAAGTAAACCTATATCACCCTTATCTAAAAAAAACATGACACATTTTAGTAAACCTTGTGACCATTCTTGACATTTACCCTTTATTTGGATATGTTGTGCTCGACCTCTAGGGAAGTCAAACAATGGTGACCCATGACATAGCTGTAAGATGTGAAATGAAGCAACCTAGCTATATGACCCCATTCCATTTCATACTATGCCTCCCCTCTTTGTCGTATTAGTTATCACCATTATGAAACGCAATGTTATGTTCTATTATAGAAATATGACACAATCGTATTAGAGGTTTTAACAGATAAGTTAGAGATAGGAAATATTGTATTTAAATCGTGATTTAATTGTGGTTCAACAATTTTATACCTAAAAATTTTATACCGGCTTGACAACTTGGGCTCTGGTAGAAGGTTTTTCCCGTCGGACGGACAATATGATCAAAGATTGCGAAACTGGAAGTTGTACCAGAAAAGCTAGTGGTATGGTATTTTATACTTAAATGGTGATTTAATAGTGGTTCAACCGTTTCATACTGCTAAAACGTCTGCCAATAGAGAATTTTTTTAATGATAAACCGCCAACACAATATAATTTCACAAACACTTAATATGATTTTGTTCTCCGGCGAGAAAACTTGCGTTGAAATGAATTAATTGCACCTTTGACTTCTTTGGACAACGATCACTAAACACGGTTCACACCTCTTCAAACACAGTTCGAACGAGGGTGTTCGATGTTTACACGACTCTCGAGACAGATCTACATTAAGTTACTCCTACTCCTATGGAGGTTCTGAGAGAGCTCCAGATCTACGACTACTGATAAAAAGTTGCAGAGGAAAGATAAGATTGATAAAACTTGACAAGTGGTGTCGAGTGGTGATTTTTGCGGGCCCTTCTCTGTCGCTCTATCCTCTTATTTATAGCCTTGAGTGGGTAACTGTCGTAGAAAAACTGCCTCGGATAACCTCCAAAAGGAACTGCTCCCTGCTTCTTCGGAACGTGGCTGACGTGTCCTTTGAACGTGGGATGAGTAGCAGTTATCTCTCAACCGCCTATGTGCCTCTCTTGAAACCGTCGTAGGAGCTTGTAGCATGCCTCATATATCACGGTCATGGACTTCTTTATTCATGTCAATGGCCCTCTTGGGACTTAGTCTCTAGTGATATAATATTTCATCCCCATGTCATTCTCCTTCGTGTCCATGGCCCCTCTCGTGAGGCGGCATGGCCTCTTGTTTGCTCCCATGGACCTCTCAATCATGGACATGGCCTCCCTCATGAAGCAGCAAGTCCTTCCCTATACTTAGAATATTTTCGGTTGTTTTGTTTAGATCATGAGGTACCCCCATTACCGTTTTGGAAAAACCGGCTCCTTGTACGTACGCAACCATATTAGCCCTTTCAAAGTGTTCTCTTCTCAAATTCCATGGTCGTTAGAGTTCAACGCATACCGCCGTGACAATAGCAAAATTCTCTCCTTGGTATGCGTAGCCAGAATTTCATTGGAGTTGGGTTCGGCGCAAAATAAATATATAAAATGATTTTTATTCATATTTACACTAAATAAAATCCATGATAAAACTAAAAGCTAAAATCTCGGAGAGGCGATTTTGCTAGCGGCAATCTCAGATAGGGTGTCCACCGCCAGGCATGCTGGAAGGACCTTCTCCACCGACCAAGGAGGCCATGGATGGCTCACCCTCGCCAGATTCGATAGCAGGGCAACGGAGGCCACCCTCCGCGTCTTCCTCTCCCAACCCTAAGGGGGACAAGGAAGCCCAACAAAGCAAGAAACGTGTGAAACCTACGATAGTCGGACCTCAGATTGATGATGTACAACTTGAGGATATAGCTGTGGAAAACGAACCAAACATCCATAACCGCACTAGCATGTCGTCGCCACACACATGGGGAGCGGGAGTGGGGGCTGCTAGACGCCTGTTCGGCGTCATGCAAAAAAGGGATGCTTGGTACATCGCGGACTCGGACTCGGAGGACATAGCGGCAAGCATCAAGGAGGATGGAAAGAAAGCAGGGTTCGAGGAAGACAACGATCCACGCTGCCCGCACATCCCTTTCACGGCAGCTGAAGAGAGACAGTACTGCATTGAATGGCGCTCCACTCTAGTAGTCAAAGCCCTGGGCCGTTCAGTGTCCTACACGGGTATCTCGAAAAGACTCAATGACATGTGGGCTAGGGCGGGGGGCATTCAAGTATCATCGGTGAAGAATGGTTATTACATGGTCAGATTTACGAGCAGGATACACTACGAACGAGCTCTAACGGGTGGTCCATGGATGATGGGGGATAACTACCTAACGGTTCACATGTGGGATAAACATTTCCGACCCTACAATCATGAGATTTCGTCCACTTTGGTTTGGGCGAGGCTACTACACATCCCGATACACTTCTTCCACAGGGATGCAGTGATGAAAATTGGCAGCCGAATAGGCAAACTGCTACGGATGGATCAAGCAACTACTACAGGAGCTCGACTGGACTATGCTAGGGTATGTGTTCAGGTGGATTTGACCAAACCATTGTTATCACGGTTCAAATTCCATGGGGGTCACATACTGCATCCAGTATGAGGGACTCGAAAATTTTTGCCTTAACTGGGGCAATTATTTTGAGCGATCCAAATGCTACTGCACGACAACCTCTGAGTCGATGGAAACCGACAACTCTATTCCTGAGGAAACCTCACAACCCAAAGAGCAGGAAAAGACCTATGGGGAGTGGATGATTGCCAAGCGGAACCAAGAACAACCCCCAAAGAAAATGCTTTGTTGGGCAAGGAACCCACGCAAACCCAAATAGATGTCAACCGGCGAATGGCTCGCGCTTCAATGTACTCGCTAATGAAGAGACAACAGAGTTAACAACCAAGCCCGTCGAGGGGGACAACGGCAGGAAGACAACAACCCTTGCACACCAACCCCAAGATCAATCTCACAAAAAACCTGGCCCTAAGACAACGCCAGAGACTAATGTGGGGGGGGGGGGGGGAGAAGAGTAAAGCCAAGGAGACATGCCAACTGGGTACGTGCATGGCAAGGTTACACAGCCCATTAAGCACATGCAATTCGGGGTCAGGGAATCATTCCTGCAACGAAAGCAGCCCATTAGCCCAGAGCACGGCGGTGGGGAACAGAGCACACAACCGACGTTCATGACGTCAGAGTCCATCCCACCCGCAGGCGCAACAGTTGAGCAGGACGAAGAAAAAGCACAGAATAACACTACACTAGAGTTGGCTTTATGGGGTCGCCCACCAAACCTGAGGGAATAGTCCTTGCAGCCTGAATGGGCGTCTCAACCAGTGACACACAATGCGACACAGACCTTGGATGGGACTACCCCGTCCAACATTTAATTTCAGGGAGTTTTTCGTTTACCCGTCCTTTCTTAATGGATATAAAATTATTTGTTTGGAACTGTAGGGGTGCAGGAAGTAGAAAATTCCTTCGAGTTTACAGAGAGTACAAGAGACAACATAGACCGAACATAGTAATTACAGTGGAGCCTCGTATAAGTGGAACTACCGCCCGGGATGTAATAAATGAAATGGGTTTTGATAAAGAACTTATAGTGAATGCGTCAGGATTCTCGGGGGACATTTGGTTACTTTGGAATGCTTGAGAACTCACCATTACTCAGATAGATACTCACTTCCAGTTCATTCATGATATGATCCTAATTCGAGAAACCATCCAAACTTGGACCAAAAATCAGAATTGCGCAACGCCGAACTTTTTAGGGGTTTTCTTCTTTCTTCAGTGACACGAAAATAAAGGATAGTCGCGGAAATCGATCAAACAGATTCGAAATTGTGAGAAGGGCCAGTTGGTATATTAAACCAACCAAACAATCTCCAACCCGTGGATAATGCCAACCGATATAGTCGATGTTCGCCACAACTAGACGCGTTCTCTAGTTGATAAGAGACCACTCAATTCTCCCGAATCCTCAAAGGAGAGATTAAGCAAAAGCGTTCACAAAGGAACTCACACAAACTCACTTGTATTTGATTGCTGAAAACTTGAATATTAGGTACAAAATTCGTAGCTCTTACATCCTCTATTTATAGAGGCCACAAAAACATAAAACTAACCTAAAAGGAATAGGAAAACAAATCCCAAACTAACTAGGAAACATAATACTACTTAAATAAGGACTATAACTCATTTTTATGACCAAAGGAAGCTCCTTAGCAGCTAAGTAATCTCCAAACACGTTTATAATGCTTAAGGAAGTTCCTTAGCGGTTAAGCAATCTCTTTCCTTGTCCTTTTCACATTTGGATGACTTGGGCAGCAAGGATGGACGTTTTGGGCTCCAAGAAATGTTGTAGGCCGCCTTAATGAATTCTCCATTTTATCCATCAAGAATGCTCCTAGTTGATCCATAAATCGTTGAATTCGAACCTTCATTTTGGGACCACGAGAAGTGAATATCGTGCTAGTTGATATCGCATCAACTCACGTGCAGGTTGCAAGCACAGGCAGGCCATTCGAAAAATGGAACCTCACGACAGAGTACGCTAGTCCCGATCAATGCAACGTAGACAACTTTGGGCGGCACTAAGACAAATTTGCGAAGGACAAGATCTACCTTGGCTAATCACAAAAGACTTTAACTCAATCATACACCCCTGAGAAAAATTGGGAGGAGCTCCCTTTGATGCCATCCGAATTTGAGAATTTCAAGACTGCGTCTACGATGTGGGACTAGTGGACATGGGGTTTGCTGGACCACCGTATACCTGGTTCAGAAGTAGTGTTCCAGAGAGATTGGATCTTGCCCTAGCTAGCAACAGTTGGCTGACGACATACCCGGAGACTACAGTTCGCCATCTGCCAAAGATTAAATCAGACCACAACCCTCTATTGATTTCAACAAACCCACCCCATCAACCGACATGACCTAAACCTTCTCGGTTCCTAGCGGTGTAGTAGACTCACAAAGACTTCAAAAATATGCTACAAGAAGCGTGGGACAAAGGAAGCTTCTTCCTCCAGTCAGCAGTGGCGTTCGCAAATGACGCTACCCACGGGAATTTCCATGTTTTCGGCCATATTCTTAGAAGAAAGGATGCTCTCCTGAGAAAGATCAAGAGACTGGAGCACAGTGATGGTGAATTGTACTTTTCTACACAACCCGAGGCTCCCAAGGAAGAACTCGAGTTGGTTTTGTTCTAGGAGGAACTCTTCTGGTGCCGAAAGTTGCGACTTGAGTGGATCGCATCAGGAAATAAACAGCTTATTTCCACTCAAGAACCCTAAAGCGACGAAATAGGAACAGGGTCCTAGCTCTGCAAAATGTGGCAGGGGAGTGGGTTTATGAAGAAACGGAACTACAACAAATGGCACGAGCATTCTTTGAGTGGCTGTACACGGATGAAAACGAGAATGCGGTACACCTGACTCGCGAATTCCCGGTTTTGGAAAGCAGCCTTTGGCAGTGTCTCGCTATGCAACCATCGACTGAGAACATCGTCCAATCAATTCGCTCGATGGGAGCTTTGAAAGCACCTGGCAAAGACGGGTTGAACCCCCTATTTTTCCAGAAATGTTGGGAGACGATCGGAGCCTCTATGACGGACCTGATCCGCAACTGCTAGGATGAGCCGACCAAGATTCGGGACATTAACTCTACTATCCTCCTCCTAATCCCGAAAACCACCTCTCCAAAGTCTATCGAGCAGTTCCGACCCATCAGCCTATGTAATGTTGACTCCAAAGCACTGACGAAGACAATCGCGGAGAAGCTGAAACCTCTTATGCCCAAATTGGTGCACGAGACCCAAACGAGCTTTGTCCCAGGCCAACACATTACAGATAAAATTTGTATCCTACAGGAAGTTGTTCATTCTATGTGCGACAAGAAGGTTCGGAAAGGTTGGATGGTCCTAAAGATCGACCTAGCCAAAGCGTATCACAGAATCCGATGGAATTTTGTCCGGGACATTCTAGAGGCGACAGGCGCACCACCAAAGCTGATCGAGGTAACTATGGCTTGCATCACGACGTCCACAATGGAAATCCAGTGGAACGGGGGCTTGACAAGCCCGTTCTCCCCATCGCGCGGCCTTTGACAGGTATGCTCTCTATCAATAAATCTGTTAGGGATGGGAGTTGGCAGCCGATCCAGCTGACCAGATCAGGACCGACCCTATCACATTTGTTTTTTGCATATGAGTGAGTAAACCAAAGTCAAGAGTCTTCTTCTTAGGAAATGTGACGGCCGAAACCAGAGCCTCCCTAAGTACTGAGCTCGAAATCCCGCAGACGGCAAACCTCGGCAGATACTTGGGATTTTCGGTTATCCACTGAGTATCAAACGCGACCTACATCGAATTGATAGACAAGGTGGATAAAAGACTGGCAGTGTAACACTCCGACCTTTAGGTTTAGGTTCGACCTTAATACGTGATCAGTTGGGTTGACAGTTGCGTACTAAAAGTTGCAATCGCGGATTAGTAATAATAATAATAATAATAACTTTATTATTGTATTATTATAAAAAAATATGTATAATTCTGGTGGGACGGGCCGAGCGGCCCAACCCTCACAATCGCAGCAGCAGCAAAACCCCGCCCTCTCTTTGTTTTTCCCCAAAAAATTCCCAGTCGCCTGTCCCGTTCCCCAGCAGCAGTGAGAAACCCCAACCCTCACAATCCCCAGAAAATTCAACCCGCCACCCTTGCTCTTGTCCCCAGCCTCAGCGCGAGGCGGAAAAAAAAAGAAAAAAAAAGAGCAGCGCCGCTCGCATCCGGTTTCCCCACCTTGTTTTCCGACCCCGATACTATTCCTTTCGTGTTTCTAGGTAAGGATCACGAACCCCGTCGCGATTTCTATACTTGATTCATCGATAGTCTAATCCGAAGCAGCAGTGACGTTTGAGGGTTCGATCAGCGAGGAGATTAACGTCCCGAGTCATCCAACCTAGGCATAGGCACGTTCTAGAGGTAAGGGAACTCGATCCCTTTGAGTTAGGTTGATTCATTTAGAGATTTTTCGTGAGGGTGCAATTCTGAGTTCTTAGCAACAAACGTTACAGGCTTTTAGTGACAGATTTTGGGTGGTCACTAAAGCTGCTGGGAATTTGCAAAAACTTATTTTAGATGTTTTAAATTGTTTTGAGTCTCTATGGGTGTTTTTAGTCATTCAAAAGGGAATTCTAAATCGAGAAATGTCGACTAAGGAGATGGCCTTCTTATTAATAGGTTCACCGAGATAGTTCGGTCAGGAGGGATTTCTTCGAGTGAGGAATTGAGGAGTCATCTTTTCAAGGTTAGTGTAACTGTGATAAATTTTACGCCTCACGTGTCCTTTCAAGTTTGACGAGCTTTAAGTATTTTGATGAAGTGATTGTTATTGCTTGATTGTGTTTATGATTGGTGATATGTGCTTTGTTTGAGCTTTGTGTAGAGTGATTATGTATGAGTGATTATTTACTTTAAAGCTTTGCAATTAGGTGTTATTATTAAAGTGTAAGAACCAAGTTCTCTTTTTTTTTAAGAAGTAACTTACCTTTAAGAAGGTGAGGTCGTTTTTAGTCACTAGCGTCAGTCCGTTGCCATTTGAGAT